CCTTTGCTCAAGGCTGAACAGATTCAGTTCCGCTAACCTCTCCTCGTAAGACATTCCTCTAAGAGAGGATACATATAAATGTTCTTTTGTGAATGTGTGACATCCTGTGATAGACAGGCATCACGTTCGGGGTGCACCCTGCCCTACGTTTCCTGAAATAGGCTCCAGAATTACAGTAACACTACTCTGGACTAATGGTTATAGGAAAAGTAACTAAATGAATGAAAAGCATCCTGGAAGAATTCCCACCGGCATCAGCAGCAAGACTGCAGGATCTGACAGAATGAGGTCACAGTAAAATAAACATGATGAAAGATTCACAGGCCGGTTTTGACAACTTTGATATCCCAACCATTCTGACAAGTGTTTTTTTTTTTCCCCGGGGGGGAGTCTTGTGCTTCTATCCCATCAGTTTGTCACCTAAACCTGCCCTTACCACACACACACACACTAACACTGTAACACAAATACTGAGACAAACCTGCGATTTTCATAATGCTTACAGTTAATGATAATTAATTTCAATTAGTGATTCCAGAGTACAGATTACAAACACAACCCATAAGACATAAATGAGTATTTTTAAAACTGAAAAGTTTTATTTTGATCACTGAAATCATACACGTTACCAGGTATACCAAACAAGTTACAACATGACAAAGGAGAAACGATTCTCTTGAAGACGACACTCATTGAGACATCATTGGCTTGGGGCCACAGGGTCTTTAATATCCAATTTCTGCAATGTCTGCATTACAGAGTCAGCAGAGGGCTTAGTTGAGCTGACAATGGGCTCCAGAAACATGCTTCCAGCCACCTTCTTCCCTGTGAGCGGGTCCACAACCTTTCCCAGCTTGTGTACAATTTCCACCAGTTCATGCTTCACGTGCTTGGTCCTCCTCTCTGGCAGTGCTTTCAGGAGGACAATATCTCCCACACCGCACTGCTCCAAGGGATCATGTGCAAAGTATGTCTTTCTTTTGTTGTAGTACTGTAGTGAAAGAGATGAGAGCAATAACGAGTATAATTAGTACACCGTATATGTCTACTCATTAAAAAACGAACGGAGTGTGAAGCTCAGTTCCTATGAAGGCAGCGTTACCTTGAGAAGATACTGATCCAGGACAAGCCTAGTCACTCGGACCTTAGCGGTCTTCTGCATCTTGGTGCCTATTACTCTTCCTATTATCCACGTTGCGTGTACAGTCGCAGTTTTCAAAGACATGATGTATGAGTCCTGGACAGATTTGGAAGGGGATTTCTATATTTATTTACTTACTTATTTTTAATCTCATTTATACATAACCTGACCGATAACTCCACATAGAAGTATAAAACACAGTGTCAGTAAAACATGTACTTGCTCGGGAATATATAACTCGCAAACGCATGAACAGAACTGCTGCATGAAATGGCACAAAACAGAGCTGTCATCTTGATACAAGTCAGGTCTCTACAAAACAGTTAGCTTCATGCTTTAGCATCAGAAAGCAAGTTAGAAAACACATGTTTTGCTACATACCTATATTTCGTTGATTGTGGAAAATAAGTTGGCATTTAGTACAGCGCAAATAAATACTTGGTTTTCTCAACTGTTTCAGGAAGGTCAGGATTGTTTCCCATGCTTCCGACGCCTTCGCTGGGCTTCTTTTGATGACGTTGAAGTGACGGCAGACAAACCGAGACAAACAGAACGCAATACGAATATGCGTTTAATTTTCTGCTTAGAATGTTCATTTATACGTTCGGTAGTGAAGGAGCACGTACACTGTGTAATTGCTTTGTTTTTAATTAATTCGGTACAGTGCACACCAATGTATGTCAGAACAATGTATATAGATGTACAAATAACAATTGAAAGAAACTTATTAATGTACTTAACAAAGGAAATGACTCTACTGCCTCTACAGTAAAACATCCTTACAAATGAACAAATGGCTATAATCAAAGGGTACTGTCTTTTTGGTCTAGAATGTTAAATTGAAAAATCACTGTAACCTGAAGTAGTTCGGTTTAACATTGCTAATGGATGATGTTCACACTTGAACCACAAGGAGGCGCACAAATACAATTTATTACTCAACGACTTTTTTTCAGAAATGAACATCTGGAACTAGGAGAGTAACATTGAGTTCACCGTCACAAACTGTCAACGCAAAGAATAGCATTTTGTCTTCATTGTGGAGAGACATTTCCAAGATCTGGTTCTGTTTTGCAACAGCTTAATCAAGTTCATGTTTCTGAGCCAGTTAAGACACTGCAAGCACTAATGTAGATAACACTGATGTAATATACCATGATATACACTATCACAACCAAAGGGACGTGTAAAAAGCCATCAAGAATGGTAAAACTATAGTGTATTTATTTGTTTATTGGTATAAACCTTTTGAGGATATTTAAGAAGTTTATTAAGAAGTTTATTTTTGAGTTGGTCCATCTATTTTTTCCAATAATAATATCAAGTTGGCCAGACATGGCATTTAAAGTTCAGGCTACCATAAGAGTCTACAATAAGAGTATAAGTTTTGTCTTATTTTTTCTCTGCCTTTTGAGAAATGCCTTTTTTAGCCTTTTATGGTCACACTGTGAAGTGGATGGTGAACAAGAAGCCCAGCCTCCCAGCCAAGCTGCACATAGCTCTGGATACTAGAATCCCAGGCTGTTAGAGCTCTGGTACTTGTGGAAAACATGGCCAAAGGTCATTGGGTCATTGGGTCATACCATAGTCCGGCAGGGGAGTATTGGCTGCTGGGGCAAAAGACTACGTTTATGTGTGTGTGTGTATTTTTGTGTGTGTGTGTGTGTGTGTGTGTGAGAGAGAGAGAGAGAGCGTGTGAGGTATATCCAGAAGAAATTACAGGTTATCACCCAGACTTCCCTAGTCAGTCTTGGTTCTCCAGATGGTTCAGTCTATGTGATCAAATACACTTAAAGCATGTGGCACACCATGCATACAGTCTTCATGGATTTTGAACATTTTCCAGAAATGTATTGTATGGATAAATGATCTCATTCAGCAGCTATGATATCATTGAAGAGGTTTTACTGCCTTACTTGGTCAGACGGGCGAACAAACTTCCATGAGGTATACAAAAAAAAAGGTGTTACCCCGAGCAAGTCTCTCATTCATTCTACAATGTCAAATGCCTCTCCAACTGGCCCTTTCTAACTATCCATTTCTAAAAATGTTTCCAGAAAAAGTTAAAGTTCTAATGACAGATTGGGCTAGTAAATACAGAGAAGACATTTGCCAGGGATGATTTATTGCCATATGAGCGCTAATTGATGCTACTTGTGAAATGGTCCAACTCTTCTGCTAATGTCTGCAGCTCAAGGGCGTAAGTTTGATTTTGACATTGATGGGGACCAATTCACCCTCAAACCCCCCGCCCCCTTAAACACACATGGTTCTCCCACAATATTGATAGGAACATGTCCCTACCATCCATACCCAAATCTGTGCCCTTGCACACTATTACATACAACCAGGCCCATATCAGATAGAATGTTCTAGTGAAGCATTGGCTAATCTTTATGTGGCTCAATGTGGCCCAGGGTTGGAGAGGTTCTAGGTCAGGGGTGGGCAATCTTATCCAGAAAGGGTATGCTGGTTTTCACTGAAACTCCCTAATACTAATTAGAGGATGGATTGGCTGAAGAGTCCTCACACCTGGGTTTGAACAGCTGACCTAAAAGTCATCCCAAAAGTCTGCAGGCACACTGGTCCTTTGTGGATAAGGTTCTAGGTGATCTGCTGGTGCGGCACTCAAGCATAAACCTGCACAATTAATCAGTAGTGCTGTGCTAAATGTAGAAATAAGAAAAGGTATTGCTGCCAAATTCTGATATTCAACACTGGCTTAACATGGTTTTCTGCACAAAGACATATTTTAATCCCAGGATAGAAATGATCAGAAAATAAAAACATTAAGGGGGGGCGGCAGGCCAAGCCAGGCCTGAGTCGAGCAGAATAAGGGAATGCTTTACCTCAGAACCGAGACGGAGCCACATGGATCAAGTTAGCTCACTGCTGCAGAATGGAGCACTGATTTTTAACCATTCATAGGAAGGACTGGTTTCCTAGGCCTAAGCAAGCTCCCATGGAACATATTTTGAATTCTTTTGGGAAATATTCGGCTTTAGGGCATTAGAAAAGCTTTGGAGAGTAGGGGTGTAAATGGGTTTGTTAAAAGTCTTAACAAGCCAAGGAAAACATGGCATCCCTGCCTTGGTGTTACTGTGACATAAAATCCAGTCAGTCTCGATTGTCATTATCGTAATTACCTCTTCGGTGCTTTGGAAATGTGAAAGATATTGACCAGAACATCTGCTCTGTAAACCTGACTGTCTGCTTTGCCTTACTATTCCATGTAAAGTGACAAAAAAAATGGCCACATTCCAAAACCAATCTCCTTCAGACAATAGATAAATAACAGCTCATGACGGGATTGAGATATGAGCCTTAGCTGTAGGTTATACTAATGAACATATAATATCTTTATGTCAACAAGAAACCGGTATATTGTAGAATGTGATTTTTAAGTCTGCTGACTTATTTTTCCTGTGTTCTGTATTATTATTTATCATCACTTCCATCAAAATCCATACCACTGGTCTGTTAGTATTGTTTTTTATCTTGTGTCACTGATATTGGAAGTTTGATGGTTAATATTTAATGAGGAGAGTATGAACAAATCAAAAACCGCCCTGCCATCTTTCAGAGACTCCCTGTGGTTGTTCCGATTGATGCATGACATTGTTATAATTTCGATCATTTAGCTTGGATGCTCTGGTGTCATATATACTAATGAACATCCTTGTGCTCAAGCATAGTCTTAGTTATGGATAATCTATGGCAGGGGTCTCCAACTCCAGTCCTGGAGAGCTACTATCCAGTAGGTTTTCTGTCCCACTTGGCTTCTTATGAGCTACATCTGCTCCTGGTATTTACCTGAGAACAGGTGAGGCTCATCAGAAGCCGGGTAGGATAGAAAACCTACTGGATGGTAGCTCTCCAGGACCGGAGTTGGAGACCCCTGATCTATGGCCTGCACAGAAGTCCAATTCACTACTGGGGTTTACATCTGGGAGGTCATTCTCCCCAGTCACACTCTACCAGGGATCTCCACTGTTTTCCACATGAGCATTGAAGTCACTCACAGCCCAAAGAGGCAGCCGACTTACCCCCCAGGAAAAAGTCCAGCCAGACTCCAGCCTGTGATTGGGAGGGGGGACGGGGGGGGGGGGGGGGGATGGGGGGGGGGGGGGGGGGGGGGGGGGGGGGGGGGGCAAAATCTTGGACAAATCATGTCCCGGCATTTGGATGGTCCCATTACATATGGGATGAGTGACAACCTGAAGTCTTTCACCATGGGGGATGCCAGAGAAGGAGAGATTCCACCCCTTTGAAGAGTTCTGGTTCTGGAACCCACACTGTGCAGGGAGATAAGGCCCACAACAGCTAACCGGTACCTTTCTATATCCTGCAATAGCTCAGACTCCTTCCCCACCAGAGAGGTAACATTCCACGTTCTCAAAGCCAGTGTCCATTGCCAAAGCCTGATCTATCTGGGTCCTTCCTGCACATTCCTCTCGCCCAAATGGCACTGAACCCGACCCTCGTCTTTCATCTTGCGGGTGGTAAGCCTACAAGATCGCTCCACCAAGCTATTTTGGGCTGGACTTGGCTGAATCACAGGGGTGACCCAACCATCAGGTGCTGACCAGCTCAGCAGGCCTGGCTCCAGGGGTAAGTCCTGGTAATCGTATTCCAGACCGGCTGCACTTGTTCGTTTTGCATAGCTTAGCTTCTCCCCACAGATCTGTTCACCGGGAACTTTTGCTCCAGATGACATAATAAAACGAATGTCTGAGACAGAGTTTCATGCGATGAGTCTCATGAGATAATTTTTTTATTGCTGGGCTGTGTGGTTGTAGCTCCTGCTACGCTTGTTGGATCTATAAGCTGTAGATCAATCTGATCAGGGTATGGCTGACCCTCAGCCAAGCAGACGGTCCGATACGGTCCAGCTTATTAAAATCAGTCACGTCGTCTCCACCCGTTACTAAAGTCGCAGGCTCTTCGAAGGCCCCTAATAAGACAGAGCAGACATAAAAGCGGTGTGGTATCATGCTTTGAAAAATCTCCAGGGCAGATCTTGGCTTTCCTCTGACTTCAATGAGAAACAATGTGTTACAGGCCAGTGATGTTGCCGATTGCTGTAGGTTCTGGTCCAGTGCTGAACGCAGTGCTCTGCCTATGAGTCACGCAGCGTGTGGTCGCTGATTACCAGGGGCGTGGGGCTGTCAATCCATTACAGCGTCCCCTGAGCTAAGCTTGGAAACCTTCCTGCTCAGTCAGAGTCCCTTTTAGCTCAGGATTAGTCCTCTAAGAATTTCCAAGTGCTTATATTTATTATAAATACCCAAACTAATGACAAACAGTAAGATTAGGTCTGATGGGCACCAGATTACGATACATTTCCGCGTAAGTAGCCTAAAGTGGATTCTCAAAGTGTCTTACTTCTAGAGCTTTGAATGTTACTTTTCTTAAACCACATATTTGCAACCCACACTTAACTGGTTATCGATCATTATGGGATTTTCACATTGAATCAATGTCCCTCCCCCCAAAACAAAACTTGAGCAATGAAAACAGCTAAAAATTCTGTTACTTGTAATTTTATGTATGCCATGTATACCTATTGTTATTATCGAAACCCAAAATGTCTCGCCAAGGTTACAAAGACCAGGGGGCACCCACACAGGTACCCCCATAGGCTTATTTTTTTTAACAGAAAATTATATCCGGTCAGGGTTGCTTGTCAAGATCATGTTTACAGGCATAGGTGTCACTGTATTTGCGAGGTAGAGGTGTTGATAGCCCAGTAACGAATAGTGCTTGTCTCTCTCTGCCCTCTGCCTTGTCTTTTATACATGCTGCTCATGCATGTAACAAAACCTGAAAGACAGAAAGCAGTAAATGAGTCCCTTCTTGCCTTTCTGGCATCCAGCCCATCGCCATGGGTCTCGGGTGTTTTGATTCCATGGCTCTGTGAGTAATCTGTCATTTTAACAGAGTCCTAGACACAAACACCCAGAAGGGGTAAATATGTAAAAAAGATCAATGTGCCTAATATAAGCTTGATATGTGTTCAATATTGGGTATGTAATCCCTTAGTATATGGTTTACATACCTTTGACAAGAACATAAATTACTATAAGCTCTCTGGTTTAATTAAGAATTGCCTATTATATCTATTAAGGTTGTCAGAAACAGGGAAGTAAATGACATCACGATCATTTTATGAAAATAACCTTTCAGAGAAAATATGAGGCCATCAGAGAAACTGTCATTTCGGTGCACTGGATCATTAATCTGTCTGGTTAACACTTAAATCGCATAAGTTAAACTTCAAGGACCCGCAGGTTCTTACCTAAATGATACTGATTGTCCACCTCCTTGTCACGCAGGTTAGCAGAATGACATCACATGCTCTTTTATTCTGAGGAAAACAAAAGATCGATCTGCGGGCCAGATTTAATAATGAATTATGAACATGCCGCAGGGGGGTACTACAAGATGTCATAACTAGTGAATGACCCAATGAAATCCCTGGTTGTCCACTATGGAAAATGGCTGATCATCTAATGCAATAATCTCCATTATCTCAGTAGATGTTTCTTTAGATCTTGAGCTGCTAACTTTGGGCCTATTGGTAATGTTTAAATATTACCCGATAATATCGCTATGTTAACCGAGCTATCGTTCAGCTCTATATACTGCTCGTTCCAAATTATTACAATATGTAATGGGAAATAACAATAAATGGGGAAAATAATATTGCTCAAGAATGAGAGAAAATCACAATCTTGATTCTGTTTTCGAAAAAAAATCATGATTCATATTTTACCCACAACCGTGCAGCCCTATTCCACTTCATATGCTTCTTTTGCAGACATAATGACGAAAAAAATGTAATGTTTGTCAAATAATAAGAAATCTCTGAGCCAAGGGTACGCACAGTACGTACAGGCGTACAGCTGCAGGAGTCGATTGTGCCATTAGTATGAATCACACAAAGCAACAACAGCAGCCCTTAGGTACTGTGTTATCCAAAGAGCAAGAGGCGGATTGTCAGGGCAGGTTTCCATGGCGATGAAGGTGATGAAGCATAACCTCAATCAAACACCTTCATGTATGAACAGTTTTCAGACATTTTTTAGCCCAGTTTTCTGGCTATCGAGGTAACAGTCTGAGACGCCGGCCAGGGTCTGATAATGGCATATGGGACTATGGGAACTTTCAGCTCTTATCTGCAATTAATTTTTCACTCGTTTCATTTTTATCGCATCACTATTTCAACATTTTGCTCCAGCCAAAACTTGCGCATGGATTCCACCAACTGTTCACGCTATTAATTGAACTAGCCAGGAGTGAATAAGATGAAAGTGGCCGAGAGATCCAATAGTGTTCTACAGGAACTATACAGTACTGACTGTTAATGCAATTTCACATGCAAACATTTGTTTCCCATGAAAGGTCCTGCAACACCCATGCTATTGAACCAGCACCAATGTGCCCTTAGTGAGATAAGTTTAACATAGGTTGAGTATAATACCTGTATGTTGGATGTTCAAGGAGACATTTCAATGTTTACATTACAGTGTTATCTATGTGGAAACAACAGGATGGTATTTTATAGGTTTCTTTCAAAGGATTTTTCAAAAATTCAGAAATTGATTTTTATTTTTCTGAGGTACCCCAACCTAAAGCTCAACTTACAGTATATCTGACTTGTTTGTAATTCAAGAAAGTCCTAATGTAACACATAAACTGGCCCAAGCACATTAACTATTTTGTCTATTTGGGGCGTTTTCAATGGTTCCAGATAATTTTCAGCTGTTTACAAACTGACTTTAACAGCAGCCTTAGGTGACCCCCACCTAGATTTGTCAAAGGAACACCGAGTTTTACAAGAGTTGGGGGGTTGTAGTGGTGATATCCGCTTGCCCTGGGGCAGAATGCTAATTAAATCAAGATCCAGGCTTTGTGGGGAAGAAGACTTTGCAGGAAGACTTTGATCATTTGAATAGCTCCCTGCTGGGGCCAAACTGAAGATCTTTACATCGGAATCGGAATTAGAATCATTATTGCCACTCGACCAAGGCAGATGGAAGTCTTTGTTGGCACGGCTTGTTACCGTTGGAGACACCATGACAACAGACAACTAGCAATTAGGACATAACACAGATGGAGAATAAGCACAAGACACGAGGTACAGTACACAACAGAGAGGAGTAAATGCAAGACATGTGATATATACAGTAGTTTGTGCAAATTCAGGTAGTGCAATAAAGAAGTTGTCACAGGCACAATCCAGACAACAACATTAGGATTATTAAGTCATCAAAAGTGCTACACTATCAGGATCATTCAATTAAAATTGATTCCTTTGTCACTGTTTCTTTTATTCACTCTTGACTTTGTCTCACACTTTTTTTCATGTCGTGCTCTTTCATCGCTATATTTCATCTTTACTGAACCTCCATCCCTCAAGAATGCACAGACATCTGTGCTGTAGATCTTTGTTTCAAACAGGGTCAATCATGTCCTACTGGCACACAATGGGCTTGGGTAGGACACAATATAGCTCAAAGCAGGGCGCCATGCTCAGAAAAAAATGTTTACATTTGAAATCAGCGATAATGACTTTTCATTGGATGATGCCAGTTCGGCAGGGAGGTTTTGGTTGTCTGAGCAGAAACACAGTACTATCCAGTCCAGAACTTCACTTCATGGACCCTTGGGTTCTGTCGTGAGTGGAAAACTGTTTCGATGTTGGGGATTGTTTGTCTTCGCAAGCCACTGCACTCAGGTAATAAACATGATCCTGAAAGTGTCCCTCAGGATGCAACTGGTTAGGTTTGAATCCAAGGTGTGCAACAACTGCAGAGCATAGCACCTTATTAAGCAAGCCAGCCCAACCCTAGAATTGGTAACACTACTTGAGGGGAGACAAATTATGTAGCATTATGCTCTTACTTATGTATTAATTAACTCCAAACTAAGTTTTAGTTACATACTGATCTCATGTTCGTTCGTCACTATATTTGTAACTATATCTGTTAATTCTGTAAACCTTTGTGAATGATTGAAGGAACAAGTAATGAATAACACAAGTGAAATTCTGATCTCATGTTTCTTCATTAATGAACCGTGATGCATCTTTTACCCCAAGCGGTTACTATATTTGTTCATGATTTGTATTTCAGTAGTAACTGAGTTACTACAAAGTATTTGTGCCCCTTTGTGCCCCTGTAGCCTAATTTCTCTTTTTAGCGAGTCTGACTAGAGGATAACTCTATTACAGTGGAACCAGTAACCTGTCAGTTTATGACAGTTTATGTGTGCTCTGCATATTTGATTTCTGCCCTGGATGTCTGGTTTTTGTGTGTTATCCGTATTTGTGTGTAGTTTCAGCCCCATAAAACGTTCTCTGGGGGAGCTGGGGGTTTAGGGCCTTGCTCAAGGACCCGCAAACATGCTGAGGCTGGGTTTAAACCAGTGACTCTCTTCACCCCTTCTGGGGTGTGCTCCATGGAGCACAATGTCGTTGAAGAGTTTATGCCTCTGCGGCCTGCAAGACAACTACCTCAACCTCCGGCAACTACCCTCCAACCTGCCTGCCCTTGGCTCAACACGATGCCTCGCCATCCATCCTGCGGCTGTGTGTCTATTAATCCTGCCATCGTGCATCAAGCACCACGTGCCTGCACCGGTCGGCCGCTGCATTGAGACATATATTTCAACCCCTGTATTAGCTTAGTCATTTCATCTTGTCTGTATTAGCTTAGTCATATCATCTTGTTTGTTTGACTCATCTGCCGGCCCCTGGAGGATGGGCTCCCCCTTTGGGTCTGGTTCCTCCCAAGGTTTCTTCCTCTTAGGGAGTTTTTCCTTGCCACCGTTGCTTTTGGCTTACTCAATGGGGGGTCCTTACGAGGCAGAAATGTAAAGCGCATTGAGACAATGTAATGTTGTGATAATGCGCTATATAAATAAAATTGAATTGAATTGAATTGAATTACAGACACACAGGCTTAGCCCACTGAGCCACACGCTGCCCATGATGGGTCCCAGCACACATATATTTATAGATGAAGACCTGTATACAGAGCTGAAGACCTGATAAACCCAACTGAAACAGTCGACTGCTTTGTGGCCTAAGTAGACCATTAGACGCTGAGAGTAAGGATGGTGTCTTTTCACACCAGCAAGGGATTTTCGGTAGAGGCCTCTGGTGGTCATGGCACATGCATCACAAGGTTCAATTTGCAGAAATGACCCACAATTCTATGGCTTAGGTCCCTCACCTCCTACTGCTTTAGACCATCAGCTCAATAAATTGGGAGTCTCAAGAGACATCGCACAGATGCTCAGATCCCTTCACAATTTAACATTGGCCAACTTGCTATAAGTGTCTTCTATACTCCATTCCAGCTGTGTTAAAAAAGAAAAAAAGATACCTTCCAGCAATTGCTCTGCTTTGGTGTTCTAGCTCACTAACTGGCAGCTGCTCCCAGATGTTTTGCACTGGAATGCAAACAAACACAGTCACACAAGCTGTTGCTTCCTCATTTACATTAAAGGGGCCCTATTATGCTAATTTTCACTATCGATAATTCTATTTTTGGGGTATACTAGAGTAGATTTACATGCTTCAGTGTTTCAAAAAACATTATTTTTCTCATACTGTACATTTCTATTCACTCTGTCTATACCTCTGTCTGAAACACTCTGAGCTTTAAGCCGCACCTCCGATGAGCCCTTTGTGTTCTGTTTGTTCAACTTGCCTGATTGGTCAGCTTGCTCAACACATTCCAGCCCTGTCTTGCTGTCTGCAAACAGATCCTTGTAGGTAGGTGGCCAATAAGGATTGTGTTACGAGGTGACCTCGCTGTGTCACGGAAGTAAGGGCTGGAATTCCAATGTGGCATTTCAGGCAGATTACAGAAGAGTGGTTTTTGTTGAGAGTTCCTACCTTTGGTGTGTACTTTGGGCCTTGAGACTTTGTAGACCGTTTACATGCATATAAAGCTATATAACATGGTAACAGAAAGGGAAAAACCCAGAAAAGCACAACAGGGCCCTTTTAAAAACATTTAAATGAAATGTCTATTTCTTTATCATAAAACTCTGAAGAGAATCAATGTAGCGTTTGCTGATGCAGCTAATTACTTGTTTCCTTTTATGGTAACACTTTACCTAAAGCTTTCCTCTAAAATGCACTATAAATACCTTAATAATGCATTATAATGCTCAGTATAAGAATCAATTAAGCATTAAAGCATCTTCTATTGACAGTCATGAGGCATTGTAGTGTTGCTTAATATATTTAATAAGTTACAATGAAGCTATCATCTATAATGCACTATAGATACCTTCATAATGCATTATAATGATCAGCATAAGAATTAAGGATGCTTTATGAAGGTATCTACA